CAAACCAAATCCACTAATTAGAGGGTCCAAGAGGGTTGTATGCAGGGTGATAAGATGGCATGTACAAGCCTATAACCTCACTTCCACTTTCTTGCTTCAAAGAGGAAAAAACTTGTCAAACACAAGGCATCTCACACATCTGATAAAACCAACTAAAACAAAGTTGTCAAACAAGTTTCATACACTCTAGCAAGCCAGAAACACGAGTCCTTAACCACTAAAATCTCCTTGTGCACAAAATCCCCATTTTCTTGCAAAACAGGGCCAGTTCTGCATTTTGCAAGCCACCATCAAATTCCCTCGTGCGTTTTGTCCAAAGCTACTTCAAACACATTCCAATTAACCTACCTGAGCTATCCATATCATTCATAAGTTGCTGTAACTCCATTAACACACATTGCCATTTTTGTTTAGAAGCTTTGCAGGTTGAGTTCTGTAGCACGATTCAGGCTACTTCAAAACAAACTAAGCATTGGGAAAGCTTCAGTGGACCTCAGGCAAGCTCAAAAGAACCTCAAGCACCCTTGGAAGTTGCTGCATTGTCCAGCTCGAAGTCAACTGAAACAGGTATTTTATGAACTTTTATCTCTCTATTTAGGAATAGTTAGACTTAGGTTTGTGAATGAAAGATGTTGTATTCATAGCCCTGAAACCATACATGTGCTTAGTTTTCATTTATATTAATCGTGCTAGGAGAATTTCATCCATGAACTTTCTGAAAAAACTAGGTTAGAAATTAGGGCCAGAGAAATTCTCTCTGGTCTTTGAGAGTTAGCTTAAGTTTTTTATATGGTTAGATTCGTTGTTTGATGCTCTACAAGTTTCATGTTATGAGTTTTGTCAAAAAAGCACAGAATCAGGAGATAGCAGTTTGTGTGGAAAACACGCGTTTTTGTTTGAACTGAGGAAGAAGACGAAGTTGACTGGGCTGGGCCCGGTTATTTTTGCTTCTAACACTTGCATTTTCAGTTCACACCCCCCTGGCCCATTTCCTTACATATTTGTCATTTTTGCATTTTTATTTTTATTCTGACTTTATTATTTTATGTCTAAATATAAAAAATGCCAAAAAATTATTTTTATATATATTTTCCATTTATTTGGTGTTTATTTTTGTTTTTACTAGTATAAAAATGTTTATATATTTTTATGTCATTTTGTTTAAATTAAAAATAATACTTTTATTTTTATTTATTATTTTTATATACACATTTGAAAATATTTTCTTGAAATATATATATTTTTTTAAATAATTTATTTTATTTTTATACACTTAATATATTTAATACATATATATACATATACTAAATTTTATTAAATAATTAGAACAAGAAAAACCCAAAAATAATACATTTTTATTTTATTAATATTTTATACTAAAAATACCTTTTTTTCAATATACTTTTATTTTTTATACAAATTGATCCATTGTTGTATATAAATAATAAATAATACTATTTATTTTAGAAATTAGGGTTTTTGCCCTAAAAAAACAAAAATAATTGAAATTGACTTTTTATTTATTTACATTTCACATTAAAAATACTTTTTGCATACATAAAAACTTTTTTTGCATGATACATTTTATTTAATGTTCATTTATTGTATTTATTTAAATATTGTACATTTAAATTGTTATACCTTACACATTCAATTTGGTTGTAATAATTTAGAATTTAATTTCTTGCAAAATAATCCCCAATTCAAATTTGTACCCCCTCCCTATATCATGTTGTAATAGTGTAGAATTTAAATTCTCGCACCTTTAAATGATTTCAATTATGCCATGATTAGACTTAGGGTTTGTATGCAAAAATCAAAACCAATAAATAGTTTGACCTAATCAAAGACAAATGCATGAAAAACAAACACAATGCACACTTGCACCCCTAGGGTTACAATCCACTTGTTACCTTCAAAATGGGCCATGATATGCATGTCAAGTACTTTGGAAAAACAAAAACAAATCAAAGATCATAGTCCCTCGATGACGCTATCTGAGTTTCCTAAACAAAATGATCAAGTCCCTCAAGAAAATTGCCAAAAATACTTGACATTATTGCTATCATGGTCTGTACGATGACCCGCGTCTGTTCCGTTTAACATCCTAACACAAGGTTGTTCACCAAATACAATGGTGAAACAACACTGTTAAAAGGGTTAAAAACATTAGAAAGATCTTTGAGTAAAATATGGTAGACAACTCTTAGTTACTTGATCAAAGCTTGCAAAACATCATTGCTATCTTCAAAACACACTTCACAACACAATTTCAAAACCCTACTTTCAAACATTGAAAACTTTCAAAAAGACAAAACACCTTTGTATATATTCAAACAAGAATCATTACAAAGGTTGCCACGACGATGGCCTCTTTTCAAAACATCTTTCAAAACCATACACAAAGCATCATTTCAAACAATTGAAGAGCACCATTTCAAACAATTGAAAAGAAAAGCAAGTGATCTAAGCAAGTAACTAAGAGACCATGGATAACCATGGATAGAAAGGGTGCTAATACCTTCCCTTTCTATAAACTACTCCCCGAACCCAAGAAAAAATCTCAAAGGTATTTCCTGTGCTTTTTGACCTTTCCTTAGGATAAAATAAAAAGTCGGTGGCGACTCTTGCTAAACCGAAACATTTGCGAACACAAACGCAAAATCTCAAGTCAGTTCTCCCACCGTATCACAGTAATGAAAGTTGTTTTTATTTTTAAAGACTAAGCAGGTTGTTATCGGTTCATCCGAAATTCATGTGTTATGTATCTGAACTATAGATGATTGAATGTCGTAGTTTCAAGTTGAAAATGTAGCATTCCATTTGTTTGTTGGAAATTTTTATAAATCTGATTTTATTTAACTCGTTGGGTAGAAATGGGGTGTTACAGTTCCACTACACATGCCACTTTTCTTGCACATTTATGTTTAATAGTTCTCTAGTTTTGCATAGAGTTCTTGTCGTCCTTGTTTTGGTTGCAACTTGCTTTCTGCATCTAGGCATGCTTCCTCGCTTAATTGCAAACTGGTTTTTTGATTCTACTTCCTGCCTTATACAGAAATCTCTTCATTGAAGATGATTGGGCATGCTAGAGCTATCCACAAGCTCCTAGTTATATTCTTGCTTTTACTACAAATGTTAATACCATTCTTTGTAATCACATAGTTTTTTCTGATTTTTCCCTATGGGATCATCAATTAGGACATCCTTCACACAATGTAATAAAACAAATTTCTTCTCATTTGTCCTACATTCATAGTTCATCAAATAAAATTTGTGATTGTTGTCACTTTGACAAACAACATCGTCTGCTGTTTACTCTTAGTTCTATTAAAAGTGTTGCTCCTTTTGATCTAATACACATGGACATTTGGAGCCCTCTTGCCATTCCATCCTTCCATGGTGATTTATAATTTTTATGCGACACACTTGGTTATTTCTCATGAAGACAAAATCTGAAACAAGGCAACTTGTTAAGAATTTTCTGTCCTTGGTTAAAACACAGTTTGGTGTCAAGGTGAAGTGTATCCGAACTGAAAATGGACAAGAATTTCTCAAATTGCCTACTGTTTTTTTGGTGTTATGCAGTCAAACATGCCATCTACTTGATTAACAGGCTGCCTTCCCCTGTTTTGGAAAATAAATCACCCTTTGAGGTGCTTCATGATATGTTTTTGGATGTTTAGCGTTTGCGTCTACTCTCCAGCAAGGTCGACTTAAGCTTGATCCTCGAGCAAGAAAGAGCGTGTTTCTTGGCTATTAAGGGCTTCATTTTATTGGACTTACACACCAGACAAATCTTCATTTCTAGACATGTTATCTTTTATGAAGATTCTTTTCCTTACATAATTCACAACCACAACTACTCCTACATCCTACGATTTAACTATTTTTGACACTCCCATCTTTGTACCGTCACCTACACCATTATCCTCTGTCCCTTCTAATGAATCTCCCAACCAACCAACCTACTAAAATACTTTCTGCATTCATTAAGACTCAATTAGATTCTGCATTCACTATTAATGATCTTGGTACTCTCAAATACTTTCTTGGTTTGGAAGTGGCTCGCTCACAAGCTGGTATGCTCTGGATTTATTATATGATTCTTGTATGTTAGGTGCTAAACGTACATCCACACCTATGGTTAAGCCCTCTAAGTCCCTTTTAGACGCGTCCTCATCTGTTGATCCCAGCATTTACCGCCCCATGATTGGCAAACTCCTCGCCCAGATATTAGCTTTGCCATTCAGCAACTAAGTCAATACATGGTTGCTCCTCTGCCTCTCGTGTATTGTGTTACATCAAACAAGCCCCTAGTCAAGGCCTGTTTTTCCCTGCATCTTCTCAATTAGATTACTAGTTAGACATATAAAAGTTAATTAGCTCATTGTATTGTACAAAAACACTTTTCTGTCATTTCAATGAATCAAAAGCTTATTTTCAATCGTTCTCACAATCATGTTATTTCTCTTCAAGTGCGCTTGTCTTCGCCTTCGTCTCTTTTTTGCGTTTTCGGAAACTGAGGTTTGTCTCCTTGTTTTCTTCTTCTCCTCTTCCTCTTTGTGTTTCAACTTTCCTCAATCAAACGAAATGGAACTGAAATTATGTATGGGTGTGTCAAAGTTTCATCACTAAAAAATATACTAAATTAAAAATATTAAAACATAATTCCACCTAAACTGTCACATAGAAAGTTAACATTTTTTTCCAATATTTAACAGAAATATTCATTTATTAAATAATAGATTAAAGTAAAACTTTAAATTAAATTTAAAGACTAAAAGATACATTAAACCATTCTTTTTAAAATATTTATATTATATAATTTAATTAGATGCTTGTTTAAAAAAGTAGTACTAAATAAATTTGAATAAAATCATAAATTAAACTAAAAATTAAATATAAGTCATGCTGTATTTTTAGTCAAATTTAAGAATAATTGTTGGAAGAAACCACATAATAGAAACGAAAAACAATGTCTAGAAACTGAAAAGTAAATGCCACAGCGTCCTTCAACTTCAACCTTTGCAAACTTTCAAAGACCGCTTTACCTATGGAACTTGATGATTCGTGACTCTACCAATAATGGCTTCTTCACAGAAACACTAAAAGCATATTCTTTTATGCACCACTCTGGTCTCCATGCCAACACCTTCACCTACCCTTTACTCCTCAAGTCATGCGCTAACCTCCTTTCCATTCCACACGGTACAATGCTTCATGGTCATGTCTTTACACTTGGCTTCCAAGCTGATACATTTGTTCAAACTGCACTTGCTGATATGTATTCAAAGTGTTCTGTTATTGAATCTGCAAGAAAGGTGTTTGATGAAATGCCGCAAAGAAGTGTTGTCTCGTGGAATGCTGTGATTTCGGCTTACTGTCGCGAGTCTTTGATGGATAAGGCAATGAGTCTCTTGAAAGAGATGTTGGTTGTTGGTTTTGAACCGAGTTCGTCTACGTTTGTTTCAATTTTATCAGGTTATTCTTCCGATTTGAATTCTTCCGAGTTTCTTCTCTGGCAGGGTATGTCGATACATTGTTTTGTTGTCAAACTTTGCCTTGTGTGTTTTGAGGTCTCTCTCGATAATTCATTGATGGGTATGTATGCTCAGTTTGGACAAATGGATGAAGCAAGGAAAGTTTTTGAGTTTTCAGATGAAAAGTCAATAGTTTCTTGGACAACTATTATGGGGGGTTATGTGAAGGTTGGGAGTATTGCGGAAGCGTTCAAGTTATTTCATCAAATGCAGCATCAGCATATTGACATTGACTTTGTTGTGTTTCTGAATCTTATTTCTGGTTGCATACAATCTAAAGAGCTTTTGTTAGCTTCATCTGTTCACTCTCTTGTACTCAAATGTGGGTGTGATGAAGAGGATTCCGTTGAAAACTTGCTTATAACTATGTATGCAAACTGTGGTAACCTTACATCTGCTAGAAGGGTATTTGATGCAATAATAGGAAAGAGTGTTTTGCCATGGACGTCGATGATTGCCGGATATGCCCGTTCATGTCATCCAGAGGAGGCACTGGGTCTTTTTAGAAGGATGATTAGGACGGAAATTAGACCAAATGGAGCAACCCTTGCAACTATTTTATCAGCTTGTGCTGATTTGGGTTCACTTAGCATTGGACAAGAGATCGAACAATACGTTTTCGAAAACGGATTTGAATTGGACCAACAAGTCCAAACATCACTTATACATATGTACTCCAAATGTGGTAGTATTAACAAATCAAGAGAAGTATTTGAAAGGGTCAAAAATAAAGATTTGACTCTTTGGACTTCCATGATAAATAGTTATGCTATCCATGGGATGGGGAATGAAGCTATTAGCCTCTTTGAAAAAATGATAACTTCAGAGCGAATAAAACCAGATGCCATTGTTTACACTAGTCTTTTTCTTGCTTGTAGCCATTCAGGATTGATAGAAGATGGATTGAAGTACTTCAAAAGTATGCAAGCAGATTTTGCAATAACTCCTACAATAGAACAGTATACTTGCTTGGTAGATCTTCTTAGTCGAGTTGGCCAACTTGACCTAGCTCTAGATGCAGTTGAGGCGATGCCACTGGAAGTCCAAGCCAAAGCTTTGGGTCCATTGCTTAGTGCTTGTAGAATCCATGGCAATATAAAACTCGCAGAGCTTGCAGCTGCCAAGTTATTAAACGTTAGTCCAAGAAATTCTACAAGTTATGTACTAATGGCTAATTTGTACAACTCTATTGGTAAGTGGAAGGAGGCAAATACTATGCGAAACTGGATAGATGGCAAAGGAATAGTTAAAGAATGTGGCTGGAGTCAGGTTCAGGTCAGTGGTTAATTTCATATTTTCCGCGGGAAATTTGGGACTCGTTGGGTTCGTCAATATCCACAAGACTCTAAAAAGCTGAATTTTACTCTTCAAGGAGGTAGCAATACACCAGTAGTAACTGAAAATCGATGGAAGGGAGGGGAGAAGATAAAGAGGTCAAGTTACTGACAGTCATAGTCTTTACAATTTAACTAAGCGAGGAAAAGATAAGATATTATGAATGCAATATATTTTTCTGTCATGAACAAAACCCTAGAATTTTCTCCTATTCAGGGGTGGCTGCTTAGGGTTTTCAGGGGGATTGTGTGTAACCGAAAATCGAAGTTGGTCAAAGGTATTCAATAAACCTCAAGTTAGATTATAGTCTCGTTCTGTTTCGATTATAAACAAAAATAGCTAATTGAATGAAAAGTGTACATAATTAGTTTTCATTTTTGTTTTGGTACTAAACATAACAGTCATTATTATTTTCTTTGAAACACAGAGATTGGAATATACAACTTAAAGTTTTAATGGAAACAAGTTGTTAGATCATCTAACAAATACAGAGACGAATAGCAATAAACCGATCCACCTTCAATGGTCTATATGAATAAATAGAATTTAAGTACTTAACTGTAACTCTAAACTACTCCATAACCCAAGTTATAGTTAGTGTGAGCAGAATGTTTAATCATCTGTGTCAGCCACAATTGATATAAAATCTAGGTCACATTCAAAGCTGATACTACTATTCTATTATATGCATATATAATGTTATTATTTTTCACAAATACTCTTACATTAATTTCTATAATAATTACTAGTGGTGGACTAGTAAATTCTCTCCGGTTCTTTTTTTTTTTTTTTTTTTTTTTACTTTTCATACTTACTAAATTCAATAGACTACATTTTGGGTTTAAAGATATCAGGAAATTTTTTTACAAAATTGTTAAATTGTAATTCGATTGTGTCGAAACAGTGTGTGTCGAAGGGAGGTTGTCCAGTCGAAGAGTTTGTGGATCGAAGCAAGCTACGTACATATTTGATTGGTTTTAGATTTAGATAAATTTGATTTATATCTAAAATAGATAGATTTGATTTAGTACCAAAATAAGTATTTTGGGCTTTTATAGTTTTGAGTTTTGGCTTAGGGAGCAAGCTAACCTAAATCTATAAATATAGGGAGTAATCCTTAATTTTGTAATTTAGTCAATTCATTGTAATCACAGAATTTGCAGTTGCAAGTGATTAATAAAGTTTTTCACAGTTTATGGACAGAGAGAAACTCTGCAGAAAATAATTGTCTTCGTTTCTTTTCTCATAATTCATTGTCATTGTGTGTTGATATCAATCTTTTTCATCAAGATTGGTAGAAATTCATCATAGATATTTGATAGATTTCCAACATCTGTGTTGCACCCCAAAATTTGCCCTCTCATGTTTTCCAAAGTCTTCCCCCTGCATGGTTGATCACAAACTCTTGCCTAAGGAAAAAGAAAAATTTTGAGTGGTACTTTAAGCACCTTTCGATTTACATCCTGAAAGACACTTCGATTGGTGTTCTGAAGGAGCATTTCGATTGGCATTCTGGACAAGCATTTCGATTGGCATCCTGAAAGACACTTCGATTGACATTCTGGACAAGCATTTCGATTGGCACTCTGGACAAGTATTTCGATTGGCATTATAACAGTGTCCTTCGATTGGAATTCTAGAAGGTCCATTCGAAGAGGCATTCAAAGGGTCCATTCGAAGAAGCTTTCGAAAAGCATTCGAAGGATGCCATCAGCCCATTCGAAGGAGGTCATCAAGAGGGTGCCCAAATCAACATGTCCAGGTTCATTCAAGAGACACAAATATTTCAAAAAAGGAAGTTATTTAATGTGTCCGTTTCTTGTCTCATGACATTTAATGGCATGTTTAATGGCTGTCTCTTGCCATCACTGCACCCTCACACCCCTATAAATACAGAGGCCAGTGGCACATTACGAGGACACGAAAATCAGAGGAAAATCATAGAACGAAACACACAAAACTCTGCAGGAGAACACACAGAAAAATTGTCTCAAAGAGCCAAAGCAGTCTTTCAGATCAAAGGTGCCCACGCCCAGAAGCCCAGATCGAAAGTGCCTGCATCCAGGAAGTGCCCAGATTGAAAGTGCTCCCATCCAGCCAGTGCCAAATCGAAGGTCCCAACTACTGTAAGAGAGGGTAAATTGTCAAAAAACTTTTCATTTTGCATAACACATTATTACTTGTTGTTACCTTGATTTGTCATCCTAGACAGGATCGAAAGGTCTGGGTTTGGCACCCAGGTCATGTTTTTTCGTTTGCTAACATTTGCTGCAGACATAGCCTGAAGAGACCCAGCAAGCGCAGGATCGAAGGGCCTGGGGTTCAATACTCAGGCCCTGCATTTTATTTCGCTAACATACTTTTGCAGGTATAACACCCCAGATCGAAGGAGACACCTTCTCTGGATCGAACCCATCAGCATGCTGGATCGAAGGAGGCATTTCATTCCTGGATCGAAAGTCATGACCTCTATGATCAAAAGACAATCCTCTTCCCTGGATCGAAGGCCACTCACGCCTTACTTTCTGGCCCAATCGAAAGGACCAGGACCCTCTCTAGATCGAAGCTTCCTTTCCCTCCCTGGGTCGAAACTCCCTTTTTTTGCCTGGATCGAAGGATCCCCCCTTGCATTTTATTCTTGTTTTCATTGACATCTTTTTTTATCTTTTTAATTAACATTAAAATCAAAAAACCACAAAAACATTAGGCTAGTTCTTTTTCTATTAAATTAACTTTGTTAATTAACCTTTAATTATCTTAACATTTTTCCAAAACTAAAATTAAATAGATTTAGATCATTTTCACAAAATAAAATAAAACAACAAAAATATTTTATTCTTAGGATTTTTAGAGTTTATTTTCAGATTCATGCGCGCTTATTTTATTGTAACTGCTTATTGGTTTGTAATAGCTTAAATTAAGACTTCTACTTTTACTGCTTTACTTCCCCAATTTTTGGACATGTAAATAATCCCCCTCCCCGAAAGCCTTGTAATAGCGTAGGATTTACAATTCTCGCACTTTAAATTCCTGTACATATATTAACTGTTTAAATGTATGCTAACTAGGATTGTATGACAAGATCTGTCTTAACTTAAAATCAACAGTAGCTCACCATAACATGTACAAAGATAATATAAATTGAAAATTGACACATGCACATGCCACTCTTAGGGTACACCTCACTTGGTTGCCTCGAACGTGGTCATTAAGTATAGGATGTTTTAGCGGTCGTCATTAAGTAAGACATTAGGATTACCACTAAAGCATCCTAACGTTGCTTTAGTGACCACACGTCCCTAAAATCGAATTGACCCGAAAACTCCGACGACGGTGCTACCTACTCCTCAATAGTATGATAGTACTGTCTAAAGGACATTTGCACAATTAAATTCCTTTTTGAGTAAGTAGAGGTTCTTAAGTACTTGCTCTCTTTCAAAAACAAAACAAAAACTTTTCGCACCTACACTCTCTTTAAAGACAAAACTCTTTTCAAAACCCACAATCACAAAGAAAAGCAAATCTTTTGAAAACATAGTGAGCAAGTACCTAAGAGCCCGTGAATAACCACGGATAGAAAGGGTGCTAACACCTTCCCTTTCTATAATCTACCTCCCGAACCCGAGAAACAATCTCGAAAAGGAATTTTTCTGTGCTTTTGTCCTTTCCCTTGTTGGATAAAATAAAAGACGGTGGCGACTCTTGCTTACCGCGACACTTTGCGAAAACAAACGCAAACGCGAATCAGCATTCCAAAAACAGTCAGTTCTCGTTCCCACCGATCACAGAACTGGCGACTTTGATGGGAAATAATTAATAAGTGAGGTATACCTTGGGATTAGATCACTTGTGTTTTCAATTGTATTGCTTTGTATGCTTTTAATTTTGTGGGCTTGTATCGGAGTTCTATAGATCCTAACCCGGATCTGGGGGTATCCTTTTTAGGTAAGTAGCAATAAATTGTGAGGGATCTGTTCGGCGTAGACCGACACAGATGAAGCAGTAGCTACGTTGGTGTGGCACCTTAGTCTGTACCAATATCCCTTGTGTTGAAACGAGGAGAATATGGGTCTTCTGAGGAGTCATTAAGCACCAACTGACCTTAGAACCTTAAATTGACCAACTTGGCCATAGAACAGTAGCAGTATGCTACACTCATTGATACTAAACTCTCGCGATGGTTCTGGCCGCAAGAAAAGGTTGCTAAGCTGGAATTATGACCGATTGAGGGTAGTCAGTGATATTGAGATCCTCTAGAACCCGGTTACTATTTTTAGGACATGTTTAAACCAACTAAACTGAAAGAGGGTAATGCCTAAACTCCGTGTCAGCCTAAACTTAAGGCTATATGTGTGACTTGTGTGCCTTCAAACTTGAACTACTTGTTATCTGACAACAGGGGTTCCTTGCAGGTTTTGTTTACAGTCCTTATCCAACAAATTGGATTTATTGCAGGGCTCACTTACATCACCTCACTTTTTCCTTAAACGCATAGCATATACATCATAACATCATACCTTAACATTTCCTTAACCATTTCAAGGATCTCAAGGGTCTGTGATGCAGGTTATGGTACATCAAAAGTCTAGCAAGGGGCAAAGGGGATTTATTTTCCTCTAGCCAAGGTTGTCTAGAAATCAAAACACGATAAACTTGAGTCAGGGGCTATGACCCACTCGATATGGTGAGCTTGACTCTTGAAGAAGGACTCTCAGCAACGTGAAGTTCCTTCGATCAAGCTACCAGATTCAAATTCTAACAAGTTTCTTGTTTACCCCGCGAGATCCTTGAAAACATTGCATACATATATCATACATATCATTGCATAACAGGTCTCCCAGTACAGGTCTCTTATCTTCTTCGTTGTTTATTTCAGCAATCAACATGTCTACTGAACCTTCCACTGAGCAAGCTATCAAGGCCCTTCAGGCCCAGAGCGCCCAATTTCAAGA